TGTTGGCCTCTGTCAAAGATGAGGTGATTCTTGTCCATGCCAAGCTCATCTGAAACAGGGACTGGTGCTTATAAGAACCTGATGACTTCTGGGTTTCTGCTTTCTGGGTAGGATCCGCAGTTGCTGGAGAGACCAGAAGGCAATGGGGTCATCACTTTTGTCTCTATATTCAGCCACTAAAAGTGATATCAAAAACAGTCTCCATAAATTTTCCCCAGAATCCTATCCCAAGTGTAGAACAATAAGCCATTCCCACTAATTTGCAGAGACCACTCAGTACATTCTTAGGTCATTTTTAAAAAATAATATTTTACTGTGCTTTTGGTGAAAGCTTACACAGCAGATTAGGTTCCCATCTGACAATTTTTATACAAATTGTTCCATGACACTAGTTACATTTTTCACAATTAGTCAACTTTCCCTTTAATTGCGTTCTGGTTCTGTTTCCAGTGCTCTAGTTTCCCTATGCCATATCTTCTCATTTTTGCTTTACAGTAATTGTTGACCTTTTGGTCTTACATGAATCATTTTTTAATGGAGGACTGTACTCACAGGTAATATCCTTTACGTTATGTGCCAGTCTGTTATTGTGCTAAAAGGTGACCTCAGGGGATAGTTTTGGTTTCAGGGTTTAAAGCATATCTCAGGGTAATAGTCTCAGGAAGTTCTCTAGTCTCAACTCGTCCAGTAAGTCTGGACTTTGAAGAGTTTGAGTTGTGTTCCTCATTTTTCTCCCATTCTGTTAGGGTCCATCTCTAGCGGCCTTGATCAGAACAGTTGGTCAGTAGTGGTGGCTGGGCACCATCTAGTTCTTCTGGTTCTTAGGTCTTTTTTAAAATAAAAATGCTGGCATGCAGAGTAAAAGTCTGAAGGTAACTTCCTACTGGCAAGGAACCCAGACGCTGAGTTAGGAATCTCCCATTTTGTGGGTCCCCAGATGTAAATTAAGCCATTGAGACCATTCTTAGTGCTGCTCTAACCAAAATACCACAAGTGGGCTGCTTTAATGAACAGAAATTTATTCTCTCATAGTTTAGGAGGACAGAAGTCCAAACTGAGGGCGCCAGCTCTAGGGGAAGGCTTTCTCTCTGTGTCGGCTCTGGGGGAAGGTCCTTGTCTCTTTTCAGCTTCTGTTCCCCAGTTCCTTGGCGATCTTCATGGGGTGGGTATCTTCCCCTCCATTTGTACTTGCTTCTGCACCTAAGCTGCTCCTTTTATGTCTCAGAAGTGATTGGCTTAAGACGCACAGTCTACACTGATAAAGCCTCATTAAAATAACAAAGAAAACCCTATTCCTAGATGGATTATATCCACATGTATAGGGGTTAGGATTTATAACACATGTTTTTTTGGGAACACAATTCAATATATAACAAGGCCCTTGACTGGCCAACATGTAATCCTAGAAAAGGGTCAGGGTAGGGAAGGAGAGAAGTGAGTTCTGAAGACTACAGCAGAGAGAATAACAAGAACAGCAGAGAACTGTAATAGATTGTTCTAGATCAAGAATCATCAAACTTTTCCTGTGGAAGGTGGATAGTAAATATTTTAGGCTTTATGGGCCAAGAGGCAAAGTCAAGAATTTTATATAATAAGAGAGAAAACAAATTTCCACATATTTGTATTGACAAAATTCAAAATATAATAATAATAATTGAGCACAATTTTTTGTGCTATAGGTCTGCTAATGAGGAGGGTGGAATTCTTTTTTGTGAGATATAACATTTTGTTCAATTGGAATTCAAACTTAGTGTTTTCTGTCATCACATTGATTCTAAATATTCATCTACAACAGCCATTCTTAGGTCACAGGCTGTACAAAAACAGGTGACAGGCTATAGTCTGCCAACCCCTGTTCTAGAGTTGGAATCCCTGGGAGGAGCAAATGATTAAGCACTTGGCTACTAACCAAAAGGATAGCAGTTCAGATCCACCTGGAGATGCCTCAGAAGAAAGGCCTGGCTATCTAATTCTGAAAAATCAGCCTTTGAAAACCCTATGGCACACAGTTCTACTCTGAAGCTTATGAGGTCACCACGAGTCAGAATCAACTGCATGGCAACTGGTTGGGTTTTGGTTTGCTTCTAGAATCAATCTACAAATATAATACTGCTGATAATAATATAAGATAACATTTACTGAAAGTTGAGCATGTGTCCAACACCGGGCTAAATGCTCTGCTTATATTATCTCATTGAATCCCCCTAAACCCCAGCAATATAAGTCATTACTATTTTTTCATTTTATAGAAAGGACAGGCAAGGGAGAGTAAAACAGAAGGGCACTTGCCCAGGGTCATCCGGCTGTAACGCTTGCTCTCGGGTCTGTCTGCTTTCAGAGTACTAGCTCGAAACCACTGGGCTGAGAACCGAAACTGGTGGTGACCAAGACCTTGATAAGCTGCTGGGCCTTTGTAACCACACTCTCGTTTATTTCTTTGTTCTTTTATTTTTGTTTCCTCCTCCGTGTCTGTCTCTCAGAGTGATTGCTACCAATACCCTGCAAGCAAAAAAGTCTTGTGGTTTCTGTTGAGGAATATCAAGGGGTTGGAGAGAGAGAGAAAAGGGAAGGAAACCAGTACCTCCTGCTCTGTGATAAGTCAGAGTAGGGAAAGACCCTCAGGAAACCAAGAAGACAGTGTCACTTTCATAAAGGGACGTAGACAAAACCCAGGGAGTTAATAGACAAGTGGTAACCTTTGAACACTTAACAAATCAGGAGACCTTCGAGGTTCTCTCATTTGGTTATTTTTTTCCCATCTTCCACCCGTTTGCTTCCCATTTACCCCTGTAGTCAACCCCATTTCTTGCTGAGAGTTATGCTGGTCTCAGCTGGTTTTTGGGGTTCTTCATTGTCCGTGCCAGGCGACAGTGGTGTCCAGACCACAGTTTGGAAGACCAGGGCCCTGGTGTATCTGATCCCACGTGCTGCCTTGCCTGGCCTGGGCGTTGGCAACTGGATGGAGGCCAACCCTGGGTATGCTCAGGACCTGCTGGTCCACATACCTAACCAGTTCACTGACAGCCGTGAATGGGACCCTGGAGCACCTCCCCAGCCACAGTACAAATTTTCCACAGGCTTCCTTTTCCCTCCCATTCTTTGTGGGAAATGACATGATTTTAGCAGCAACTATTAGGAGCTAGCCCCAACCTGACAGGCATATTGTCCCCAGAAATGGTGTCTATAGTTATAAAGTGACCTCAGACATAGATTAAGTAGTTGCTGTGATTCAAAGGGCTGGGACAACTTTTTCTTCCCCCCCAGCTAATTTTTTCCACTGATCTGTTTCTGCTCAAAATTCTATAGCCTTGAATTTATTCCTTTGGCTAAGCATTGCCCCTCCTGGATTCTTCTTCCCAAAAGGGAAAGTCTCTAAGAGGGGACACACACTAAATTACTTTAATAGGAACAGATGTCAGGTATATTCTTTGCATCAAAGGGGACATGGCATCTTAGGTACACTGAGTACCAACAATGGGAAGGCATTTCTGGGGATAAGAAAGAAGTTCAGAAGTGTGAGGGGATCCAAGATGAGAACTAACATTTATGAAGTGCTCCCAACTTGCCAGGCAGTGTTCTGGGTGCTCTAGTGTATTAACTTGTTTACTTTTTTTTTAAATAATATTTTATTGTGTTTTCAATGAAGGTTTACATAGAAGTTTAGGTTCCCGTTCAACCATTTCTACACAAGTTTTTCAGTGACATTGGTTACATTCTTCACAGTGCATGAACATTCTCATTATTTCCGTTCTGGTTGTTCTGTTTCCATTAATCTAGTTTCCCTTCTCCCTTACCTATTATCTTTGTTTTAAAGTAATTGTTGACAGTTTTGTCTCACATAGATGATTTTTTAAAGGAGCACAGTACTTACAGGTGATATTCATTGTTGTTTGAGCCAATCTGTTATTTAGCTATAAGGTGACCTCAGGCATTAGTTTCGGTTCAAGGTTTGAAGAGTATCTCACGGCAGTAATCTCCGGCAGTCCTTCAGTCTCAACCAGTCCAATAAGTCTATTTTGTTTTTTGTTTTTTAGCTGATTTAACAACTCCATGAAGTGAGTACTGTCTTTCCAACCTCCGCCCTCACCATTTCACAAATGAGGAAGTGGAGGCTCAGAGAAGTTAAATAACTTGCCCGAGGTCTTAGAGCTATTAAGTGGAGCTCAAGGTTGGGAATGGAACCAATGTTTCTTATCTTTCAGGCTGATATTGTCTTGAGGGTCCCCAAGACCACGCCCTGGTCCAGTGATTCTCTAGGAGGACTTACAAGACTCAGCAGATAGTCACACTCACCGCTATGATTTATTACAGTGAAAGGCCGCAAAGCACAATCAGTAAAGCAAAAAGGCACATGGGGCCAAGTCTGGGGGAAACTAGGCGCAAGCTTCCAAGAGTCCTCTCCCAATGGAGTCACACAGGACCTGCTTAATTCCTCCAGCAATGAGTTGTGACAACATGTGTGAAATGTGGTCAACCAGAGAAGCTTATTAGAGACTCAGTGCCCAGGGTCTACCTGATATGCACCAAAATTCCCAGAAGGAAAATAGGTGTTGAGCATGAACCACATTGTTTGTATAAAAAGCTTAGTCACAGTGAGCCACTCTTATCAGTTCTGGGAATGGAGGGAACCCTCCCAAATTGCAGGTTAACAGATACCAGCCAAGGGCCAACCCGGCAAGCAGGCCTTTCTAGGGGGAGCAGTGTTGGGCCTGCTGTGTTAACTCCTTTCTGCACAGATATCCTTTATACTCTGCTGTGTTTTTTAAAAGGGGCAGTTTACACTTTCCCTTTTCTGTAAGGGTTTATTCCCCAGTAAATCTCACGTAATTGCCCAGGATTAGATGAGAGGATGTATCAGGGTACTTAGTAGATGCTCAGTAGATAGCATCATTATTCTCCTTGTCTACTTCCTGAGCCTTTATGTGTCTATTATAGCTGGTAAGGAGCTCAAATGAACTTTCATATAATTAATTCCTTCCCCCCTCCCCTGTCATTTCCAGGTGGCCCCTATCAGATTGAAGTCAACATCTCCGCCACCGGCAAGCTCCCCAATGGCACCCTGTATGTGGCCAAGGGCACCCAAGTGGACTTCAGCTGCAGCAGCAGCTCCTATCCTCCACCCACGGTTGAGTGGTGGTTCCAGGCCCTAGATTCCAGGAGGGAGCCTTTTGGAAACAACGTGACAACTAGCTTCTTCGCGCTGTTACAGATATCACAGAACCTCCAAGGGAACTACACCTGTTTGGCTAAGAACGTGCTCAGTGGGAGACATCGAGAGGTGACCACTGAGCTCCTGGTCTACTGTGCGTAAGAAGCACCCCCCTCCTTCCCCTTAATCCTTTGTGAGCTGTGTGTTTGTGCCTCTTCCTTTCGTCTGTACCTGCTACATGGTTCAAAGTGCATATGCAGCGCCACACACACACACACACACACACACACACACACACACACACACACACACACACACGGGCTGCTGCATGTCAGAGAGGCCACACAGCAGGGAATTACCTCTTCTAGGAGCTCGCTGCTAACTGGGGATAACTGAGCCACAGAGGGAAATTAATACTGAGCCTCATACAGTCTCTCTTGCTGGCACTTCATGACCCTGGTGCAGCCCTCAAGCACTCTTAGGAACCAGCAGTTCATGAGCCTTTATTTTGAAGGTAGGAAAACAACAACCAAATACTCCTCTACGCAGATATTTTGGACAAAAAACACCATAGAAATGCAGCGTGTACTCACAATTCATCTGTGCTAATGAAAGGGTGCATCAGAACAACAAATTAGTGGGTAGGATGATGATACATTTTCAACTCATACGCATTCAGAGCCTTTATAAGCATCTATATTCTCTATCATAAATGCCATTTCTTGTATATAAAGTCATACATGCTTGTATACAGATGAATATAAAGAAGAAAATAATCACTTGTAATCTAACCATCATTTTAGTCCCTGGGTGGCGCAAGTGGTTAACATGCTCGGCTGCTACTGAAAGGTTTGCGGTTCAAGTCCACCCAGAGGTTCCTCTGAAGAAAGGTCTGGCAATCTACTTCAAAAAAAACCAGCCATTGAAAACCCTATGGAGCACAGTTCAGCTCTCACACACATGGGGTAGCCATGAGTCGGAGCTGACTTGACAGCAGCTGTTTTTTTAACCATCATTTTTCTGTATTTCCGTTAATTTTTCCTGTAGCTGCCACATGCCTACCCATCCATATAAGAGGCAAATTTATTTTTATGTATGTGTATTACATAAAATATATAAAAATAT